CCATCGATGGAGTGCCAATCCCAGCCAAAAGCAATCTAAAGTACTTGGGCCTTCACCTGGATCAGAGGTTAACATGGGAAAAACATGTACAAACGAAAAGAAGGCAACTAGACATCAAATTCAAACAAATGTACTGGATAATTGGCCGTAAATCCAAGCTATCGACCGAAAACAAGCTGCTGCTTTACAAAGTGATACTAAAACCTATATGGACATATGGAGTGCAGCTATGGGGCTGTGCAAAACCAACTAGAATAAAAACCATGCAAAGATTCCAGTCAAAAACACTTCGATCTATTGTTCGAAGTTATTAGAATAGTTTCCACCAACTACCAAATGAGACTAACAAACCATCCAAATGATCAAATAGAAAACCCCTACAGGGACGGCCCAATTCACAGAAGATTGAACAAAAACTGTCCCAACTGGCCCGAAGACATTCTCCAACACAACTTATAGTGATTAGTGTTCTGTAAGTGAAAATGCCAAAGGGCATCTCACTTCCAATCTCAAACTTTCAACTATTTTACTGAATACTCTGTGTTGAAGTAGATTGTAGGAAGGCAGTGAATTAAAAAAAAATCTCATTGACTGAAACATTTATTTGACTTTTCAACTGTTCTTACAGTATAATTTTCACTTGATATTTTTGTCAAAAGATGTTTCATTTTCCCTTTATTCCATGGATACAATATTTTCAGTGTTTCAAATTTGGTTATATTTTGAATATTGGGAATGATTGGTGAAAATACATTCATTTCTCTTCAACAATAAAAATATAGAAAAATGGCCATGTTTCTCCTGAGAATACTTTTCATTTGTAACAAGTGTTTTGTTAAAAGACATTGTTTATAGGTAAGATTTCAACTGCAATATAAGATCATGAATTGAGGTAAAAAATATAAAATCACAAATCCAAGTACAAAAATATAATATCATAAATTGAGGTACAAAAATAAAATCACAAATTGAGGTATGAAAATATAGAATCAAAAATTGGGGTATAATAATATGAAATCACAAATCAAGGTACAAAAATATAAAATCACATATTAAGGTACAAAATAAAATCACAGCACACACACCACAGCTCATTCTAGTGGAGAATCTACTCCATGGGGACTGCTGAAGGGCACATATCAACAAGTGCACATCAAACTGTTAATATCTTATCCAGTGTTGGAATCCCGCTTCCTTCAGTCTTTTTCACTAGTGGGATAGGTAGGGTTTCATGAAGAATGGTATACTTTTGACGAAGTACACCAATAACTCGTTCCACATGAATCCTAAAAATAAATATGGAGACTTTTTATTCCTTGGATCTTCCACATCAAGAAAATGAATAGAATTTCAAAAAATTTCCCCCATCAGTTCAACTCTACCTCACAGTTGCAATGTGCAATAAGGAGTAATTCCTATTGAATATTTAATGGTATCATGGTGCTTATAATTGGACCAAGTGGAAGCTTGGGCATCAAGGTTGGAAGGTTTTTCAATGATTATGTCAAAACAATCAATGATTACTGTTGTTTTTTTTTGCCGAAATATTCTTTGAAACACAAAGGCATAGTATTTTGCAGTTCCTTCCTCGATGGCCAATAAATGAAACATTTCAGCCTTTGATAAAGAATATCAATGGTATTAGAAAAAATTCGAAAAACCGTATTGTCACTGCAATTGAATATGTAAGAAAGAAGTCGAAAAGAAATATTCAGTCGAAGGCGCATAAGTGTCAAGAGCAAATGTTGGAATTTATCAGAGATAGCATTGAGATTTGAAGAAATAATTAAATGGTTCAATAAGAGAAAATATGAGTTTGAGAGATTCATATGTAGGAATACCAGTGAGCAATAGGGTTTTCTTATTATTTCCAATCAAGGAATTTTCATTAAATGACAAGTTATCAACAGATTCACTATATTCATACAGTTTTTTATGTATATGTTCAACAATTCATCTTCCAAACCTTTCAAATCGACATCAGTTTGGGTTGACTTATTATGGTCTCTACCTCTGTCCTCTAATTGTGGGTTTTTTTCTTTGTCAGAATCTGATTCAGTGCTGTCTACAATCTAATAACAAAATAACATTGAAAAAAAGTTAAATAATCATCAAATGTTGACCTTTACGAAATCTGCACAATAATAATGGAAATGCAAATAAAAAAGAATTCTGGAAGAAACAAAGCAAAACGAATGCTGTCTCATATTATAGTCAGATACAACCTTACTCCTGTTCATAGCCCTAGTGAACCTTGCTACTGAGAACTCACCAGCAATGGTTTTGTATCCCATATTTTGGGAGGCCACATAATCTGGATGTTTGGGATCATCAGATGGTCTACCTAAAAAATGTTCTCCATGTACATGTGACATGTTTTGGACAGTTCATTACCTGTTATAAAGTGTGCTGCGCATATGAACGAATTTGTAACTATGGAATCGTGGAAATCTTCCCTATGAAGAGAGGCAATCCAACTGGCACGTCTCTCCACTCTTGAATGTTCTATACCTTCCGCTGCCTTGTCCGGATTGAAGGAAATCGATAGAATTTCACATCGTCTCGATTAGACCATTTTGCACAACCCACAACCGCACAAAACTTCATAGTACTTAAATCAAAACTGAAAAATAAATATGTCAGATCCTCCATAAACACATATCTTCAAAATCGATATTCCATGTTTAAAACACTCTACTTACACAATATTCACAATGAACAAAGAATCGAAATGTTTGAAAAAAAATCACCCAAATCGTTGTTTTTCGCCAAAAATCACTGTTAATAACACATGTACTCTTAGGTAAAAATGCTCTGTTTGTCCCCCCATCAGCTGTTCTACAAGTGACAGCTTACGTTACTGACGTTGCCTTATTTCATGATCGCACAGATCAAGGGTAATTCACGGAACTGAAACAGTTCTGTAGGGGTGATTTCGTGTGGTCAGCGGAATGACAGAATACAGAATTTTTATTTATTGATCACGATCGTGGCGCCATCTCTCAATGAGAGGTGAGAAGTATTATTCTCGTTCAAAATCGTCGTACACATTTGTTACGAAAACAGTTGAAGAGTCGCTCCACCAGTCAACTTATAAACATCTCACTTTTTCCCTACGTCGGCATCAACGCCTATTGGTCGATTTCGTTACCTATAGAGACAGAAGTTGGTCCTGCTTTGAGGGCAGCTATGCTTCCATATATGAGTATAGTAGATATACATATGTCAATATCTGACAAGAAGTGAAAATAGCTCAGTTGGTAAGATTAGGTCTGACGGTATACAGACATTGGTCCGGCCGTCGGCCAGACAGTGACCTATTAACTTCTGACCGACGTCGTTTGCCGCTCTTATGCCGCGTCGGCAACTTCTGCCAAGCAGGTTTGCTGGGATAGGTTGAGGAACAAGACATGGAAATGTCTTTCTTTACCTACCACATTTTAGTGTGTTGGAAAGAGTAGGGAAATATCAATTCAAATGAATATTTCATTGGTAAAATTATAATTTCAGGAATTTATATTGTATATGGATTGCTTCTGGAGGTCAGGCATTCGTGTTTTCTATTGCAGTGAATTAATGTCATGAAAATAAACCTTTAAAGCTGCTATACTTTTTAATCTTGCACCTTTTTGATATTCTGAATTGCCTTGGGTATCAGGCATCAGCTCGTTTGTGGAATATCTAATTGTTTATTCAACTGTAAATAATACCTACCTATACCTCATTATAGGGCAAATGAAGTTATCATTCTAATGAGATCG